TCTTCTCTCATTTGTGATAGATACAGAGGGAAAAGGAAAAGAAAGTTGGGGGGATGTCAAGAAAATTGAAGGGAGATCAGTAGAATACAGAAAAGCTACCAGGGGTGGAAGAGGAGGATGGAATGGGAAAATACTGGAGAAAGATATTTGTCAAATTATATTGTTATATTTTGTGCATGTATGAATATTTAACATCCAATGCTACCATTATGTACAATTAAATTGCACAAATCAAATATATGGTAGGAAAAACAGACTGCGGCTTTGGGAAACAATATGGATCTTGAGCATATTTGGAAAACTCAGATAGATTGGATGAGGCCGTGGGCCTTGGGTAGAGGTGAGTATGGTTTGCAGGTGACTCTGATCCAGAAGGCAGACTGTGGCACATGAGTCTCTTGGCCCAGTTATTCCCATATCTGGCCCTTTTCTAAGAATTTTTTCAGATCTAGCATTAGAGATGGACCCTGAACTTTGGGTACTTGGGTAGTCACGTGCTATGCCTAGTAGTGCCTCTTCAGCTGCTGAGCTGGTGGTGTGGGGCCAATATGGGATCTTGAACTCTCTGGAAAGATGTCTCCCTTCCATCTAGGACTGCAACATGCAGGAGAAGAGAGCAGAGAGTGGAGATGCAAGATGAACCCCTAAGGGCAGCAATATGCAGGGGGGTGTGAGGAAGTGGGGAGTCCTAATGGAGGGGAATAGTGAAGAAAAACTCAGGAGAGAAGGAAACAGCAAGGTTCCAGGTCTGAACAGAGATTCTGCAAACTGTCTCCCCCCACAGGTGCTGAGGAGCAGGAGGAGGCTGCAGGGTGCTGGGCAGGAAGACTTCTAGAAGTGCTGGGACAGGTCTCTGGGGAAGGACAGGCAGCTCAGGGTGAGAATGAGGTCTGTCTGAGTGAGGTCAGTCACCTCCCTCTAGTTCACTAGAACAAAGAGATATGAGATCCTGTGACCAGTGTTAATCAGGGAGGTCTAGACAGGGACAAGGGGATAACTCAGGGCAAAGCAAATGCCTGATAGTAGGCAGCGCTGTTCAAGATGCTGTCACCTGCTGATCCCTCTGTTCATAGGGACCACAGGTTTGCAGCTACTCTCCTGTTCATGCTCTAGGGACTCTGGATCTTTGGACTCCCACTTCTTCACCTCTCAGAGGAATGGATCCTCTCTTCAGGCTCCTTCTGTGTGAACCTTGAAGGACTGGGAAAATAAAGAGAGAGGGGAGGAAGAGGAGAGCAGAGGGGCAGTTCATCCCCTGCTCAGAGCGTTTGGTGAACAGAAGCCTTCATCATCAATATGGGTTCTACTGTGACTCATTCTCTAATCAGATTATTTTCTTGGGGGAGGGATGATTAATTAATGTTTTTCACTTTTACAGTATTTTAGATCACTAACAGGGTTTGGTTTCAGGTGTACCCCCAAATCTCCAGAAAATGTCCAGACATGAAATTATTTGATTCTGAGTGGTGTAACCCAATCAGTGGATTAATCCATTTGGTGGATTAATTATTTGAATGAACAGACTAGTAACTCTAGGCATTGTGGAGTAGTAAAGATGCGGTGATTTGGGACGTGCCCTGGGGTTTGTACTTTGTCCCTGGTGCCTCACTTGCTGTCTCTGCTTTCTGGCTGCCATAAACCAGCATCTTTCCTACACCACCAACTTCTCCCATGATGTTCTGACTCCACTAAGGCCCAGAACATTTCAGGCTTATGATCACAAATTGCACCTCTGAAACTGGGAGCCTTATCTTCCCATAAGTTGTTCTTGTCAGGTATTTTGGTCACAGTGATGAAGAGTGAACTAACATAGGTGCAGATTAAATGAGTACCTCCAAACTGTCAGAGAGTCAGAATCCCACATGGATCTGCTAGAGGCACGCGTGATCCCTCCATCCCCTTCTCAGAGGGTTGGGTTAGGGGTTGTAAGGAGGAATCAAGAATGTTTGCTCCTGTCCATCCCAGGCCCCACCCTCACCTCCAGAGCATCTGCTGAGCAGCCCGCTCTATGGTCTGGCTCTTCTAGTTCAGTGTGAAGGAGGTTCCTGCTGTAGACATCCATCATTTTTATGCCCTTCGCTCAGCCAGGTTTTAGGGAGTAGGAACATGCTGGTTACACCTGCCTTGTCAGGGAGTGGCCTAGCAGGAAGGAAGCATATGAAGGAGGACACTAGCAAGTGCACCTCTCCAGGTGGAGAATCCAGGGTGTGGCCATCCAGGTTTCAGGTGCTTATTTCACATGCATAGCAGCAGGGGGTATAGCTCAGGGGTAGAGCATTTGACTGCAGATCAAGAGGTCCCTGGTTCAAATCCAGGTGCCCCCTTGTTTATGTACTATTTTGGTAGCTCCCATAACCAGTACCTCTTAGGTGGGCTCTGAGTGACATTGGGAGATCTCCATTGGGGTTGATAGAAACCACTTTCAATCCTGCTTTTCAAAGCTGCATAACATGGGGCTGCAATGACATCCCTTTTATGTATAGGGCCTCCGTTCTCAACCCTACTACCCTACTGTCATCATCCAATACCATGAAGGCCACCTTGACTTGGAGTCCCCCTCCTCATTAGTACAGTGCACACACAGTAGGTCTCAGAAGCCACCTGGAGAGCCCTCCCACCTCCCTGTGCCTCTGCTTCTCTTCCACCTGCACATTACACCTTCATCCCTTGTTCTCAGTCAAGGACAAATGGCACTTGGTTTGGCCCAGAGCTGGCCACTGTGTGATGAGATGTGTTTCTGCATTCCCAGGTCCCTAATTCTCAGGTTTAGGTTGGGGGACGGGGACAAGACTGCTAATAAGGACAAGCACCACCAGGAGGTGAAGACCTGAAGGAGGCTCCAGATGTCAGGAGGGTTACTCAGTTACAGTCAGTGCTCACGGAATTTCATTGATTTAGCCTCTGATTTTAACTATTCTTGGCTTCTACTGGTTTTTGGTGTTGGTTTGTTCTTTTTTTCTAAGGCCTTGAGATGTTATGTCAGATTAGTTATTTGGTACCATTCTATTCTTTTAATATATAAGCACAATGCCATAAATTTTCCTCTTAGAACTGCCTTCGACTGTCCCAATTATTTTGATATCACTATTCTCACTTCCTTCTAAATATTTTTAATTTTCCTCTGATTTCTTCTCTTATCCTTTCATCATTCAAAGTTTAAGAATTCCCAGATATTAAAAATACAAAGATTATATTTTCGGACCAAAATAAAATTTAACTAGAAATAAATAAGATTAAATAACTAGAAAATCCAACAAGATTTAGAAATTCTCTAGTGTATTCAGAAACAAAAAATTTTAATTCTAAACAAACTATGTGTCAAGAAAAAATTTGTAATGGGGATTAGAAAATATTATACTAATGATTATGACAAAAATACTAGATGTTGAAACTTGGCAGTTGCAGCAATAGCTGTACCTGGAGGGCAACAATAGCCTTAATCCATCTACAATAATGTAAATGGAAAAGTGAAGAATAATTAAACACTGATATAGAAAACCATTTAAATACAACAGTAAAAATAAATTCAAAAAGGATAAGGATGCCGGTAGAAGAGATTAATTAATGAAATTATCAATTAATGCAGTAGAAAATAAATAGGATCTATAAAGCTGAAGTTATTCTTTGAAATAAATAACAAAAATGATAATTCAGACAACATTAAGTATAAAAGAAAACACTGACAGTCAACATCAAAAAAGTAAAAGTTTACATGATTATATTCTATATAGAATTTAAAAATATTGAGATTATGAGCCAATTTTGCCAATAAGACCTAATACAAGTTGGCGTAGAACATTTCTTAGAAAAATACAATATGCATGAGGAGAGAGAAATCCTTTGATTGATGGTCCTAATTCTCTCTCCCTTCTCACTAATCCACTTTGGTTAGTTTAGGAGGACTGATCTGGCTGAATAGAAAATACAATACTTGATCTGATCCAGTTCCTAGTACATGCACTTCCTGAGCAGTTGATGGCAAAGCTTCACACTCTCCCAACTACCAATAATATGCCAAAAATACGCCCAGAAAGCTTCCACTGTTATGTGGTCCCTCCCACATCCCTGTAAGAGCAGGACATGGTAGGTATCTCCTGCCAGATTTGCTAGGGTGTGTCCAACTGAGTCAAGCCCAAGAACATGTTTTCTTGAAATATAGGGAGATCCATGAGATTATAGATCTCATAATGCATTGTTCACAACTGATCCTTAATAAGTCTTATATACATTTATAATGTAAATATAAGTAGAGTAATTGGAACATTGGAGGCACATTAGAGGTTGACTGGGGTTTTAGGGGGCCCAGAGGCAAGAAACTTCAACTTGTATCTTGAAAGCTGAGATCTTGAGCAGTACCCAGGATCCCCCAAGACATCTTCCCTCACCTCTTTGATCTTTGTCTTCATCCTCTGGCATAGTTTTATCAAAATCAATAAAGAAGAAATAGAAATCATAAATAATCCTATAACTCTTGAAAAAGTTAAGTTCTTGAAAATTTTTTGTCATTAAAAAATTTTTAAAAAATCCTCCACACATGTAGTTTCAACATTTGTTTGACTAAACATTCCAGAAATAAATGATGCAAGTCTTAAGCAAACACTTCTGAAAATAAAAACTAAATAAAATGGTACCTTCCCAACAGATTTTATATAGCTAGTTAAACATGCTATGAAAAATACCAAAGATTGTGTAAGAACAGAAGACAACAGACCAACCTTGCATATTAACTATGATATTAAAAACAATTTATAGACTTCGGCTGTGGCTCTCAACAACTAATCCTGGCTCAAACCTCAGGGGATCAAGAGTTTCTAGCCTTAAAGATGAGTGTATATGTCTTTCTATTGGTTACCCCAAATTTTTGCCAGATATTAGTTTGAAGGAAGTAGGATGGCTGTTAGAAATTGCTATTGTTACCAAATGTAATGTGGAGGGTTGGGAGGCAGGGGCAAAGAAGGGGATAGCAATAGAAAATAAAGCTCAGCGCTGAAGCAGCTGTCTCTGAAGGGCATAAATCAGACCGCACCATGCCTCCTAATAAAGAGGCCAGCAGTGTTTCTAGCTCACCAGCAGGGCTCATCTGCCTTCCTCCAATTTCTGAGGAGCTACAGCTTGTGTGGACCCAAGCAGCCCAGACCAGTGAGCTAGACAGCAATGAACACCTGCTACAAACCTTCAGCTACTTTCCCTATCCCAGCCTAGCAGACATTGCCCTTCTCTGCCTACGTTATGGACTACAGATGGAGAAAGTCAAGACTTGGTTCATGGCCCAGCGCCTCCGCTGTGGCATTAGCTGGTCATCTGAAGAAATAGAAGAGACTCAAGCACGAGTGGTATACCATCGGGACCAACTCCACTTCAAATCTCTTCTCTCTTTTACTCATCATGCAGGGCAGCCACCAGAGGAGGTGCCACCTTCTCCAGTGCCACCTCCAGAACAAGTTGGTCTTGGAATAGGCCCTTTGACTTTTAGAGAGCCCCCCCCAGATAAAAGGATTGAAGGTAGAACCTGAGGAGTTCTCTCATATATCAGCACTGCCACTGAGTCACCAGAAAGCAAAGGAGTCCCTTTTGACACCTGGCAGTGGAACATTCTCCCAATCAGATTTTTGGCAGGATCTTCAAAGCAGTGGCCTCTCTAAGAAACTGGCAGGCAGTGGTCCTGACCACTCACATGGTGTAGGTACTTCTTCCTGGAACCACTCCATAGCTGTCCACCAGTCACGTGCTCTGGATAAGCCTCCATCAATCTCATTACTTGCCAGTAGTTGTAAGGAGGAGTCAGCACCTAGTATGACTCCTTCTTCCTCCTCTTCTTTCTGGGTACTGGCTAATGGAGCTACTGCCACCTCTAAACCCCTCCAGTCACTAGGCTGTATCCCACAGTCACTCTCACCCAAGGAACAGGCACTACCCCCACACCTGGAGCCAGCCTGGCCTCAAGGGCTACGGCATAACTCAGTGCCAGGTAGGGTTGGCTCCACAGACTACCTTTCTCCAGGTATGCAATGCCAGCGAAAGACTAAGCGTAAAACCAAAGAGCAGCTGGCTATTCTCAAATCCTTTTTTCTACAGTGCCAATGGGCACGGCGTGAGGATTACCATAAATTGGAACAGATCACTGGTTTACCTCGGCCTGAGATCATTCAGTGGTTTGGTGACACATGCTATGCTTTGAAGCATGGGCCACTAAAATGGTTTCGGGACAATGCAGTACCTGGTGCCCCTAGTTTTCAAGACCCAGCAATTCCTACACCACCATCAACCTGCTCTTTGAAAGAATGGGCTGAGACACCACCTCTACCAATTCCCCCGCCCCCACCGGATATACGACCTTTGGAGAAGTATTGGGCAGCCCACCAACAGCTAGGGAAATTGATGTCCCTCAGCTGAGTCAGGCGTCAAGACTTAGCACCCAGCAGGTACTGGATTGGTTTGACTCTCGATTACCTGAGCCAGCTGAGGCGGTAGTTTGTCTAGATGAAGAAGAGGAAGAGGAAGAAGAGGAACTGCCAGAAGATGAGGAGGAAGAAGAGGAGGAAGATGATGATGAGGAGGATTATGTGATCATACAGGACTGAGCGAGGGAGGGATTTTGGGAAGGAAAAGATCTGTTACTAAAAGATGAACCCAATTTTAGAAACTTTAAACAAAGAAACTACGTTTTTTAAATTACCTTGTGGCAAAGAATTTAAAAGCTTTTGTATTCTTCAGGGTGGATGATAGGGTTGTAGTAAGTTGAGGGTGGACCAGGGAGGATGATCATAGTACACAAAGTCATGGATTGGATCAGCAAATAATCCAGTACTCTAGCCACATGTAGAGGAGGCCAAGAACCTGGGCCAGGAAATGTCTCCTGTTCTTTATAGGCTATTCTTTTCCCTTAGTGTACTACAGAAAACAGACCTCAGCTACACATATATAGGAGGCCTGGAAAGAAGGGGTAAAGAATTCTGATTTAATTAATAATTCTAATGAATCACCAATCCCACCATTTTCCCTGGAATATAAGGCTGCCTTGTACTGTTTCCTTCCTCTCTGAGCACAAATTCTGTGTAATGCAGCTAAGATTCTCAATGGGTACCAGGCCTTGTCAGAAATACTCTCTCTTCTTATATCAATTTGATGCTCTGTGTTTTACCTGCTTCATCACCGAATCACTGGTGGTAAAAATGTTCTCATTTTTGATACTGGGACAACTTTGTCTTCTACCTTTTTATCTTTACAAAATCCCCTCTCTATTAACTATTTGTCTCAGGGTAAATCTTTCCCACAGAGTTGTAAAAAAGTTTTAATAATAGGTAGTGAATATTTAGTCTGGATATTTATTGGAGGTGAGAATTAAGAGAAGATATCCTTTAAAAAAGTAGAATTACACTATAGGGAATGATGGAGAAGAGGGGATGATTTCTCCTGTTCAAAGGAAGGATGGTAGGAAGTTCCAGGTTTGGTTTTACAAACTTGACACAAGCTCCTGTCTAGTTTGACAAAGACTGATTTTTCTTCTTCTTTCTAACCCCCACCCCAACCTCCTTGGCTCAATTTGCATCCAAAGAGAATTTTCCCTCTCTTAACTGAATTAATTATTGATGTTTTGGAATGATTTTCTTCAGTTGGGATCATATACAAAGCAAAAAGATATCAATGGGTTAACTATCTAAAAATAAGAGTGGAAGCCCCAAATTGCTAGAATAATAATAAAAAGGCCAAAAATAAAAAAAAATTAAAAAAAATAGAAACAATTTATATTGGCTGGAGTTGTGACTCAGCAGCAGAGTGCTTGCCTAGCACATGCATGGCACTGGGTTCGATCCTCAGTACCACATAAAAATAAAATAAAGGTAATGTGTCCAACTACAACTAAAACGAAATACTTTTTAAAAATTTATAAATGTTTTAATAAATCAGATTCATTGTTACATAAAAAAATAACATGTAATAACCAAATTAATTTTAATCCACAAATGCAAGGTTGGCTTATCATTAGAAAGCTCTGTTAATGCAATTTGGAACATACTATTTATAGCAAATGCTTTGACCCTCTATGGATCAGTTTCATCATCTCTGTGCTGACAGGCCCAAGAGCCAACTGTCCCCACCTTGACTTACGCTGACAGCTTGTTAAGGCTGCCAGAACAGGCAAAACCCAAAAGTCCCAGGGAAATAGAACCCCATCCCCAGGAACAGCCCTCAGCCACTATTGCTGGAGTGGGGGGATAAATCCTTCATCCTTGTCCTTTGGGGAAGGTGATCTGAGGCAGGGCACACACTTTCAGAGATTCCAAGTGGCACAATGCTCCAGTTGCCTGTGATGCCAACTTTCCTGTATCCAGCTATTTTTCCTTCCTTCCTTTCTCTGACTGACATACCCACTCTACTGGGGATTCCTGGGTTTATCTCCCAAACACTACTTGGCATCAAATTTACTTCTAGAGAAATCCAAACTGAGACCCCAGATTAAAGGAGAAAAATCCTCTGCTTGTTAAAAGACATGAAGATAAACGTTCATCAGATTCAGTACACATTTACGAGTTTTAGAAAATTTTTAGCCAACTAGGGAAAGCACCCCGACTCTATAACATGTGACAAGGAATGTACCAAAAACATGAAATGGAATACTACCCATTGGTGGGATGTTGAAAGCTTTTACTGAAAACTGGGAACCAGACAAAAATGTTTATTATCACCACTGCTCTTCTTAATGAGCTTCTTAATCAGTTAGGGCTCAAAAACCATAAAGTAAAATGTGCAGTTTTAAAGGAGAATGAAACCTCCTTAATTTGCAAATGATGCAATTGATCAAGGGAGCACAAAAGGGTCTCTAAGCACATTTTAGATTTATTAGCTGGTCTAGCAATGTGGCTGGATTCAAAGTTGAAAGTAATTGCATTTCAATGTAATGGCCACAAATTTTCGAAAATGAAACGTTCTATTTGACAAACATAAAAATATCAAATTCCTAGGAATGAATCAAATCAAAGATGTGAAAATGATCTGTACAACCATGGAGCATCGTGTGGAGAAACGGAAGAACAAAAACAGTGAAAAGATGGACGGTTTAGGGATTGGATACCTCAACATGACAAACATGTCAATTTCCCCGCATTTTATCTAGAAGGTCAAAGCAATCTAATCAAAATATCAAGATGGAAATTCAACATGCAGGGTGTGAAGATGGGACGGAATTGCAGTAGCCCATATTGCCAGACAAGAAGAAGGAGCTGGAGGATTTGCCCTGCCAGATCTCCAAACTGACCGGAGCCCGGGAAGCAAGGGTTACCGTGATTGGTGCAAGCACAGGAGAGCCCAACAGGTGAGAGCAGATCCTTGGGAGAGCCCCTCACAGACTTGGCTGATGGCCACCATGACCTGCAGAGCAGGGAGGAAAGGCCAGCCGTCCAGCAGATGGTGTGGAAGTCTGGGGTGGCCATCAGGAAAGAGAGGTGCCTCTGCCTCATTCCACACTTGAAAATCAGGTCCCAGTGTGTCTCGAACCTCAGAGTGAGAGGCAAAACAACAAGTCCGGGGAGTCAGGAAAACATAAGGAAAGGCCGTGAAGGTGGACACAAGAAGCACAGCAGCCACAGAAACAGATGGATAAGGGTGACAGAATGAAAACGAACTCTAGGTCGTTACTAGACACCACTGGGGAAAGAAAGTGGGGTGAAGGCAGAGACTGACAGTGAGGTGGATATTTCAGAAGAATGAGAAGAAAGGTTTTGAATGCTTTCACCACAAAGAAATGAAAAATGCCTAAGGAGACGGGTGTTTACAGTTCTCATGTGTCACAAAATGGACACCAGTTAAAGAACTAAGAGGCAACTCATGGGGTGGGAGAGTCTGCATGTATTACTGAAGAAGGGTTCATGGACGAAATATATGAAGAACTTGCACAGAGCAAAGAAAGAGTGTAGACAACACAGTAGGTAAGTGAGCAGAGATGTGTCCCAAAACTGAGTGTGCATCAGACCACAGTGTGAAACAGTGTTCGGACCTCACTGCATTCACAGAGACAAATTAAACCACAGTGAGATGACCCTATATCTCAGCAGGATGGTTACCATGGTAGACACTGAGGATTCCACGTGTTGGTGAGGATGTGTGACTGCAGCCACACTTACCCTGCTGGTGCAGTGGAATCTGGTGTGACCACTTAGACCCCCTATCTGGCATTGTCAATACTGAAAACATGAATTTCCTATTATGGAGCAATTCTGTTCCTAGATATAGACCCCAGAGAGTATCCAGCAGCATTGCCCTCAGGAGCCCACACTGGATACACATGGAATGTCTGTCGTCAGTGGGACAGATAGACAAATCATGCTGCAGTCAGCCATGGAACACAGAGCAGGAATGGAAAACAATAAATGATTGCGACAGTGGACAGATGTAGATGGATCTTATTGACATGAGGATGGGTGAAAGGGGCCAGACTCAGAGTATCTCATGTCTGATTCCATGTAGATGCAGCTGCACAGCAGGCCAACTCATCCACGCTGATGTTCTTGGGAGGAGGCAATAACAAGGAGGGAGTCCACAGGAGCCTCTGAGTGCTAGAGACTAACTGTGCCTTGACGCAGGTGGTTACACGTGTGCAAACATGTAAACCTCCATCAACCTCCTCATGATAACTCACATACTTTATTGAATATGCTATACCTCCTTAAAATAAATAAAAAGTAAACATGTCAATTACATTTTCATTTCTTGAACATCTCATTTGATTTATTCAAAATACCTATTTGTTCATTTTGGTAATCTTTGCTCCTCAATCCAGCTTCTAATTCTCTCTTATGAAAGATACTCTGATTTATTCAAATAGTTTTATATGTGGTCTCTTGCAGGTTGAGTTCCATTGTTTATTCTTTCTCTTTACTTGATTGGAGCTGGTTCCTTGGGAGCCTATGTGTTCAGCAAACAATATGAAAAACTTAGTACGTGCCAGTCTTTCATATGAATTAAACCATGTAGTCTATAAACAACCCAACAAAGTGTACACTCTTTTTTTGTACACATATGTATCATAACTTTTCACTTCTCTTGTTGTATATGATGCAGAGTAACAATTCATGCAATCATACATGTACATAGGGAATAATTCTCATCCCGTCACCTTTGCCTTCCCTACTCCTCCCCTGTGCTCATTCTTCTCTGCCCAACCCAAAGTTCCTCCATTTTTCCCTTGCCCCACCCCATTACGGATCAGCATTGGACTTATAAGAGAAAATATTTGGTCTTGATAGCATGATATACTCAAACTCTACCCATTTACCTGCAAATGCCATAATTTTATTACCCTTTAAGGCTGAGTAATATTCCATTGAGTGTATGTATATACCACAGTTTCTTTGTCCATTCATCTATTGAGAGGCGCCTAGATTGGTTCCACAGTTTAGCTATTGTGAATTGAACTGCTATAACATTGATGTGGCTTTGTCATTGTAATATGCTGATTATAAGACCTTTAGGTAGAGACTGGGGAGTTGGATAGCTGGGTCAAATGGTGGTTCCATTGCAAGTTTTCTGAGGAATCTCCATACTGTTTTCCAGAGTGGTTGTACCAATTTGCAGTCTCACCAGCATTTAAAGACTGTAATTTTCCCCCCACATCCTCACCAATACTTATTGTTGTTTGTATTCTGGATAACTGCTATTCTGGAGTGAGATGAAATCTTACAGTAGTTTTGATTTGCATTTCTCTAACTACTAGAGATATTGAACATTTTTTTCATATATTTGTTGACATTGTATATGTTCTTCTGTGAAGTATCTACTCAAATCCTTATACATTTATTGATTGGGTTATTTGTTTTTTGTTGTTGTCGTTGTTGGTGTTAAAATTTCTGAATTATTTATATACCCAGGAGATTAGTGCTCTTTCTGATGTGCGTGTGGTAAAGATTTCCTCCCATTTTATTGGCTCTCTCTTCATGTTATTGATAGTTTCCTTTGTTATTATCACCATTTTGCAGGATTACAGATGAGGAACAAGGGAGAAGTGTCCAGTTCCTGAAACTAAAACCCAGGCTGTCAGACTTCAGGGTCAAAGCTGTGCGCATCTGTGTCACCCTGCTCCTGCCAAGCTGCTGAGAGCATGTCCTGCTCCTTGAGCTCTCTTGGTGTTGGTTCTTCTATTCAGATTCCTAAATCTACTTCCACGACTGCATCATTCTCTGTGTATATTAACTGGAGGAGAAGTTGGAAGGGTTATCATTTGTTGTAGATTTTTATTTTGTAGAAAGTGCCCTTAACTGAGGATTGGGAGGA